GTTCGTGGGCGGGTGCCGCGCCTCTACTTCCCGTTACGTGCGTTGGATCCTGTGGGTACCTGTTTGGTGCCTGTTGATGGAGGTCATGATGGACTGTTCCAGCCCCGTTTTCCCTGCACTCCTCGGCCCTATAGACGTGTGGTGAATCTTCACAACCTGCGACCTCTTCGCCGGGAATCTCGGACGTCAGATGGTGGCGGAGATCCGCCAATCTCTGCCAGGATCGGTCTGATAAATGCTAGGTCGCTAGCTAACAAAACCTTCGCCATTAAGGATTACTTTTCCTCTCAAAGCCTGGATTTCTTATTCATAACGGAATCTTGGACAACTGGTATGGGTGAGTCCAGCGTTTTTAATGAACTCTTGCCGCAAAACTGCTGCTATTTCAATTTTCCAAGGATGTCTGGACGAGGAGGAGGAATAGTAACGGTTTTTAAAAGCTGTTTTACTTGTAAACAGTTGCATCCAGTCCGTTTTGGTAGCTTTGAGCTTGGTCTCTTTGAACTTCTTAGCTCCCACACAGTGTTGTGTGCGGTGGTCTATCGGCCTCCTAAATATAATAAAAATTTTATAAGTGATTTTTCTGATTTCTTGGCTGATATCATGCCACGATATGACAGAGTTTTATTGGTTGGTGATTTTAATATTCGTATCTGTTGTCCTACTTCACCTATGGCTCAGTCGTTTCTTAATGTTATTGAGTCTTTTAATCTTGTGCAGTCTGTAACTGGTGCTACCCATGAGCATGGACACACTCTTGACTTGGTTTTATCTTATGGTCTACCAGTTTTTAATTTAGTGATTGGTGACCCATTATTTTCAGACCATATGCCTGTTTTATTTGAGATAAAGCAGTCTATTACTAAGGTTAAACCATGTGCACCAGTTCGGTTCTGTCGTGTTCTTAACCCTTCTACTGCTGTTCAGTTTTCTTCTGTTTTTAATAAGAACTGTACAATCCCAGAGACTGTCAGAAATAAAACCGAGGATATCAGCAACTGGTTTTATTCTACTAGCAAAGCAGCTCTGGATTCGGTGGCACCGTTAAAAACTAGACTTGCAAAATCCAAACATGAACCCTGGTTAAATGATGACACTCGGGCTGCCAGGAGGAACTGTCGTAAAGCTGAACGAAAATGGCAAAAGGATAATTTGCAGGTGTCGCTGCAAATATTAAAGGAATGCTGGCGCTGTTATCAAAGGATTGTAAAAGACGCTAAAAGAAGATACCTGACAAATATAATTGTATCAAACAGTTGCAATCCAGCTATTTTATTTAAAACTATTAACTCTGTTCTAAATGCCCCACATGGTGCTTTTGTGGAGACTTCCCCTGCTGTTTGTGAAAGCTTTTTAAACTTTTTTGTTGAGAAAGTCACTTCTATTAGGGCACAGATCATACCCATTGTGTATGACCCTATTGATGCTGTGTCTTGCCCTGCTGTTTTTAATAGCTTTGAATGTGTGACTTTGCAATCCCTGCAGGAGGTCGTTAGTCACTTGAAGCCAACTGGTTCTCCAGATGATGCTATTCCACCTCGACTGTTCAATGAGGTTTTTCATACTATAGGTCTGTCGATCCTTGCTCTTGTTAATAGTAGCTTGTCCTCAGGTGTTGTTCCTGAAAATCTGAAACATGCAGTTGTCCAGCCTCTAATTAAGAAATCAAATCTGGATCCTGCTGTCCTAGCGAACTACAGACCAATTTCAAAATTGCCTTTCATCTCGAAAATTCTTGAGAAGGTAGTTTATAAGCAACTAATGTCCTATCTCATTGAACATAATATTTTAGAGATTTTCCAATCTGGTTTTAGATCACTTCATAGCACAGAGTCAGCTCTCTTAAAAGTTTTTAACGATATATTTTGGGCAACTGATTCTGGTGACTGTGTTGTTTTGGTGTTGTTGGATTTATCAGCTGCTTTTGACACAGTTGATCACAGGATTTTAATTGCTCGTCTGGAACAATATGTGGGCCTTGGTCAAACAGCTCTAGACTGGTTTAAGTCTTATTTGACAAAACGCACTTTTTGTGTCTGTCTTGATGGCAATAGATCATCCTCTGCTCCTCTATCATGTGGTGTTCCGCAGGGCTCGGTCTTGGGTCCTCTTTTGTTCTTACTGTATCTCCTTCCTCTTGGCTCTGTTTTTAGGAAATACGGGATTGCTTTTCATTGTTATGCTGATGACACACAGATTTATTTACCTTTAAAGAAAGCAGATTCCACTTCTCTTCGGTCTCTGTTTCTATGTTTGGAGGATTTGAAGGCATGGATGGCCCAAAATTTCTTGAAATTAAATGAAGACAAGACAGAGGTAGTGATTTTTGGCAGCTCGAATGAAGACTCTCTGCCTGTTGATTGCTCTTTGGCTCAGTATGTCAGGCCAGTTGTTACAAATTTAGGGGTCAAGATGGATGCTGGTCTTAGGATGGAGTCTCAAATTAAAACAGTTGTAAAGTCAGGCTTTTTTCATTTGAGGCAGCTGGCTAAAGTAAAACCAATTCTTCCCAGACAGCATTTTGAAACAGCAATCCATGCATTTGTGACCACACGGCTAGATTACTGCAATGCACTTTACATAGGTATTAGTGATTCATGTATTTCCCAGCTTCAGAGGGTTCAGAATGCAGCTGCACGACTTTTAACAGGTACACGGAAATTTGACAGTATTTCTCCTGTTTTGGCCTCTTTACATTGGTTGCCGGTGCATTACCGGATTCATTTTAAAATACTTTTATTTGTTTTTAAAGCTTTAAATGGCCATGCCCCTCCATACCTGTCTGAGCTGCTACATTCTTACACACCCTCTCGTTCACTCAGGTCAGCTGACCAGTTGTTTCTGAAGGTCCCGAAGACAAAGCGTAAGCTTAGAGGGGACCGAGCTTTTTCTGTGATAGCTCCCAGGCTCTGGAATGACCTTCCATTGAATATAAGACAGGCCTCTTCAATTGAGGTTTTTAAGTCCCTTCTTAAAACTCATCTTTTTTCTTTGGCCTTTTAGCACAATCTGAGATGTTTTACCTTGTTTTATTGTGTTTGTATTTTATTTTATTATTCTATTCCTGTTTTAAATTTTACCCTTCCATTTTATCATTGTATTGTATTATATAATTGTGTAAAGCACTTTGGTCCTGTTGGGTGCATAAAGTGCTCTATAAATAAAGTTGGTATGGTATGGTATGGTACCTTATGGTTTAGCTCGTAAATCAGCTGAGTTTGAGTACTCACAGCACAGACCAAACCTTCACACTGACTCAAAAGCTTTGTCATGGCCGAAACTGCTGCCAATGTCTTCTTCAAAAGTCGATAGAACAGAGCCAATGGCAACAAACAGAGTCCCTGCTATCTTATATTCAAATATATTAACGTCTTCAGCGTCCTCCTGAGACAGGACTGAGTGGCACATCAACTGCCACACTCCCCACTGATCCATGACGCATCCCACAGCGTGAGTCTCGGCTGGACAAGCAGGTTCTCCAGGACCCTATCGTTTTGTTGAAAAAATTTTGAAGAGCATTGAAAGTCCTTGTCACCAGATCCATAATCTTAATTTTTGTTCGAGAGGTGTGTACCAGGTGCTTCAGACACACAGAGAGAGAAGCAGGAGGAAGGATAAAACAGGGGAGGGAAGGCAGGGAGCAGCCACCTCGAGCGAAAGCCAGACAGAAAAAATGTCATCTTGGATTTTAACCTGGCAACCTAATGTTTTGAAAGGAAACTTTCTCGTGTCTAGATGTAGCCACACAACTGAATGAAAGTCAGTACCTTGCTTATTTTTCTAAATTTTCATGCTCACAACATTCACAGATGGATGAACGGACAGAGGGTATTTCCAATTCCCTCTTTTTGCTCCATAACAGAGGATATGCACCATGATGTGAAACGTGTTGCAGTAACCCTGCAACTTTAACACAAACATGTTATATATTTTTAGTTTAAGTAGTTCATGGTTCTGTTACAAATCTTAATTATCCTTATTAAAGTATAAGAATTTTGTAATTCTGCACGTTTCTGAATGTGTTGGATAGCTTTTGGAAATTTGCGTAAATGCATCTTAACATGCTGAAAGTACTCATGTAGCTTTCCTGCTTTCCTGTCTTTTTTCTCAAGAGGAATCTATTTTTTCTTTAAAAAAAACTGAAGGAGCACACATTTTGTTCTACAATGAAAGCAGCTTTGAGCGTTACATTATCTTTTCACATTCCCTTGACCAAATTGAACCTTAAGGTAAACTTAAATGCCTTAAATTCATCATGTTTCAGTGAGATTTTCAATGCATGTAGTGACATCTTGTGGAGGATACAAAAACTTACAATGCATTTGAATAAAAGTATACACCGTGTAAAAAAAAATTTTGGATTATACATGTATAGATAGACAGATAGACAGATAGATAGATAGATAGATAGATAGATAGATAGATAGATAGATAGA